CATCTACTTACACTTAAACAGAAGAGTTACTAAACAATTCACCCCCTCAGTTGTCATGAGTGTAAACTAGATCTATTAAACCTAAAATGCTTTTTTTAACCAGGCTGTAAACATGTTTATTTCTGCTGTGAAATTGGCATTTTTAACATGAGTCAATGAGGATTTGCTCACTTCTGCTGCCAGCCCCTAGTGGATAGAACTACAATTTTTGCCACTTCCGTGTTGGCTTCATGTTCGTCCCAGGATTATGAGGGCTTGGGTTTAACCCCCCAATCTAACCCCTTAAAGCTGAGTGTCAAGCAGGGAGGCATTGGGTTCCATTATTGAAGTCTTTGGTATGACCCGACCAGGATTTGAAGCCCGATCTCCCAGTCTCAGGGCGGACACTCTACCACTAGGCCACTAAGAAAATATCTTTTTGTGGCAAGGTAGATAAACGAGAGCCCGGGCAGGATTCGATCCCCAGACTCCCGGGTGAGAGTCATACGCTCTAACCAGTCAGCCAAAGGGACATCCCCTTGGCCAAATAGCCAGGGCGCATGATCAATCGGGACATTGTGACAGGATGCTCACACGGTCACATTTTGTTCATGGTGTGCTGAAAACAAGGTCATTTGTAGAGATCACTTCAGACCAGAGGAATACAATCCCAGGGACGTGATGGGAGTTCAACGTGCCTTCCATCCTCCAGAATGTGCAGGTTCCTGTAGCCCAGATCAGAATCGGAACCAGCTCTGGGAGTTCCGCCCTGAGCTCCAGAAAGGGAGGGGCAACTTTTAAAAGTTCCTAGTAGGGATGGGTACCGAATTCGGTACTTTTTAAGGTACCGACTGAATTCCATAGTACCGACTGAGCACTGATTCACTTCATTTGAAACGGTGCCTCGTTTCGGTACCCGTCCTTCACAACGAGAACTTGCCTAGACAGCTGCGCATGCGCAAGAGCGTTATGTCGGTCGCTGCGAGCGAGTTGTAAACAGAGCAGCATGGTAGAAAGAACGCACGCTAAAGCTTGGGTCCACTTCACTAAATGTGATGGGTAACTGGGTGATGATGAAACCAGCGACAACGATCTAAGTGAGACATCCTCATCTTAATCTGCTCCGTTAGGTAAATAAAATGTTTAAGATAATGTTAGCTTGATATGTTAGCTTCCGTTTCACTAATGGTGCGTTCGCTTTCTCCTCGGAACTCCGAATTTCCGACTAGAAGAACATGAACGCGCTCTAAAGTTTGGCTTCACTTTACTAAATGCGACGGGTGATTGGGTGGAGATTAAACCAGCGACAACGATCTAAGTGTGAGGCATCATCGTTATAATCTGCTCCAGCAGCTAAATGAACTGTTTAAGATAACGTTAGCTTGATATGTTAGCTTCCATTGCCACCGTTGTTATCAGCTAATGGTGCGTTCGCTTTCTCCTTGGAAATTCTAACTTCCCAGTAGGAAAAATCAAATGAAAAAGACGGTAAAAGGAATGAAGATACACAGTAAATTTAGTTCACAGTAAAGATGTTTGCTTCAGTTTAATTATCAGCTTATAAAACTACAAGGACGATGTTAAAATACAAACAGTTGTATGTTATTTATCGTGATATTTATCAAATATGGTTATAAATTGAGAAAAATATATATTTAATTATAAAAGAGAATTAAAATATTAAACACTCAAAAGTATCAAAAATTGGTACCGTTAAGTACCGGTATCGATTCCTAGGTACCGGGAATTAGTACCAGATCGATTCAAATGTCAAAGGTACCCATCTCTAGTTCCTAGTGGACCAAGGAAGCTGGTTTCTTGGTCAAAACCGGCTCAGAAACGACCACCCCAGCCTCCAGGAGAGGATTGCGGGGTTTAAAAAATCCCTAGGGGGCCAGGGAAGTTGGTTTCTGGGTCAAAACCGGCTCAGAAACGCCCACCCCAACCTCCAGAAGAGGATGGGTGTCTTTAAAAAATTCCTAGCTGGCCAGGGAAGCTGGTTTCTGGGTCAGACCCAGATACGAGCTGCCTGCCCCTGAATAGGATGACAGGTGTCTCTCCCTCTCTAAAGTGCTAAGCTATGTGACGAGAACAGATATTAACGAGTATGAAATAGCGTACAAATGCTCATTAGAGTTTATTATTGTAAAGAATATATATTATATTGACTAACCAATTCAATTTTTGTTGTCTGGGACATGATGGCAATCTACAATACTGTGATGTTAGCTCACAAGTTTTAGCTAGGCAGCTAGGATCATTGACTCACCGAGATATCTGCCGTCTCCGCTGGTTCTCGTGACACCACAGCTAAATCTCTCTCCTTTAGGCATCATTTCTCCCTCTGGGGCATGCTGCAGGCTCATAACTGTATGGTTGTGGTCCATCATAAATGTAGTTATAAACATTTTAACTTTCCTATGTAACATACTCAAAGGCCAAATATTTACTTAAAAAATGACCAGAAATTAACTTTTTAATTTGCAGACACAAACATCCCATCTGTCTGGCCTCCAAACAAGAAAAGCACTGCACAAGGCCTTGTCAGCGGATAAAGGAGCCATAATAAGTCTAGCTACCTTATCTTGGCTGGAACAAAAGTCATGTGGAAGACGACTTTCTCTCTGCATAAAGTTCGTCTTCCTTGATTCATAAATGACTTTACAACTTTATAGGTTGATATAATCAAATGTGTTGAATGAACAAAATGCGTAAATCCCAAAGTGTTTGAATAATGTGTGCATCAGTCAATGATGTGTTAAAATGAATATTGTTCCTGTGATGATCCATTTCAGATCTTAAATTACACCAGATTAGTGTCTGTTGATTTAATGTTAATCTATCCAACACATTATAATAAGATTATTATTAAGGCTTAACATTTTTGCTTCACATAACTGTTATAACATTTGCACTTCACACTAAGAGTTAACCTCTTAGTATCTGAGTGAAGGAGTGACTTTCTGAGGTCTTTAACTTCCTCTTAAACGTGCCAAGTTCTCATTTGTCTAAGTTTTGTAACCGAATGAAATGACTGTTTTCCACCTAAAAGTCATCCCCCCCCCCCCCCCCCACACACACACCTCTGACACAGAACTAGTCTGCATGAGATATGACCTCAAGGTCTCATGCATTTGCTCTAAACTGCTTCCTTTCCAGCCCAAGAGAAGAATGAAGAAAGGACTCTCTCCTTTTAATAAATCAAAGAACTCTATTTTTAATAAAGCTAATCAAAGTGTTAGTCAATAATACGATGTGACCAATCTGTGAAATCAAAATATTAATTACTTTATTATAATCCTATAGAATATAATAAGTAATATGACTTTAAGTGTTTCCACTAGGACTGATCTCACGTAGCGTTAAGACATGACACATTGCTTTTACTGATCCAATCAGAATCTGCCAGATCTGACGGAGGTGTGGTTTTGGTGGTGCTTCGTAAATCTGTCAACTTTTCATTCGACCATAAACCAAAACATCCAAAGTATAAAACTATGCCCACGTCATCTCTAACGCCAGTTCAAAGTGTTCTAGAGAAGTTGACGGAGTGGCCAATCCGTAACTTTCCTCTTCAGCTAAAGAACCAACGACAAGCTGGATAAAATCTGTTGCTGTTCCACCTGCTGCAACGGTTCCTTTCAGAATAAAAGCTGAACTCACTGACCTTCTGGGTCCATCTGACGCTGTCAACCAACTGTCGCTTTTTACCTGGAGACAATCCAAAGACTAGTTTGTCGTACTGCTGATGCTGTTTCATCGGCTCCGGTACCGAAGAGGGGTTCGAGGACCTGGCATTCTGGATCTGTACAGAGGTCTCATTCTAAGGGTATGTGTGGAGCGACAACATGGCGTCGAATGTGTTTATGAAACTCCTAATCAATGCTTAGCTCAAGACATTACCTTCACTCCCATCAGAACTAATCATTTCTTCGGATTTGCTGGTTCTGAACAACATTCTACATCACACCATTCTCCGTCTCGCTTCACCTTAGTAACACCATACATTTAGTGTTAACGTTAGTCTAGTTTTAATTTGTTTAATAAATCTTTAAACTTTTAAAACTTGACTCTCTCTTCTGTTGTCTCTGAGTTAATACGAAGCGGTTACATAATCCCTGCAATAAAAAGTTCAAATTTTCTGATTAAAAAGTACCCACAGATCCATAAGGTTGATTTCGTATTTACTATGGAATCTTATGTCTTATGGCTCATTAAATAACATGTAAATGAATTCATTACAGTTTATAAACAAAAGTTGATAAATACAGGAATCACTTCCTGATTCCTCAGTCTTCGCCATTCACTTGATAAGGCCAATCGGGTGAACAAGCATTTTCAGACCATCCTCTCTTTTGACCCCAAGGTCAAAGCCCCTCTGCAATGCTTCCAAGTGATATCAGACACAACAGCTCTTTTAAGAGCCCCTCAACATCTCAGACAGACATCTAACCTGCAGGCCCTGGTTGCAACTCATGGCTGGACTAGAAATCTGAATTCAAAGGGAACTTTCTTTGGGTTCCTGCGGTCTCGATGTCCGTTTTTTTTTTTTTTTTTTTTTTTTACCAAAAATGACTCCAAAAGCCTAAATAATGTAGGCATAAGTGCATTTTTTATTTAGAACAAGTTCCTATTTTGTTTCTCTAAACATTGGTTTAAGGGATGCCCTAACCTGCAGAGTGACCTGATCAGATGGTAATTTATCCATCCGTACAGTAAAGTGTGCAGTAGTAATACAGTTACTTGAATCCCTTTATATCTGTTGACAGAAACAAACATGATTGGCATATGTTGAGTGTTTAATAGATGTTAAGTACCAACACGTCTGCATCCTAATGCTTTCAGGGGTAGATCTGTGCTCCACGTGGTGATGTCTTTGACTGATTTACTTTCTACACCTCTAATTCTTCATGCAACAATTGATGAGTGAATTTGTGGTGTTGGAGCAGCGACTGTCTGCCAACACCCACCGCAAGTCAGACGATGTCTCACAGAGGTTATAAAAGCTGTTTTTTCTACAGGAAGGAGAGAAGCTTGTCAAGACGGTCGGCGGAGTCTTTGCTTTCAAAGTGAAGAATGGTCCCAGTGGGAAAGAGGCAACCTGGGTTGTGGATGTGAAAAATGGCCAAGGTTCTGTTAGCAATGACCCAGGTGTGTATGTTGACGGAGCTATTTCATTCTGAATCTGAGTCGAGTTGTTGACTATAATAATAAACCAGTGCTCTGTGTTTTTCTGACACAGTTTGATTATGAAGATTTAAATCTTCACTTTTTATTCTAAGCTTGATTTTCCTTCTTAATGAATTAAGGGAGATGTATTCAGTCCTTGTTATCCTCAGAAATACTACTTTTAATCCATCCAGCATATGTGAGTGTGTTTCACATGTAATGGATTTCAAGACACAGAAAATGGGTTTTTTATTGAATGTCTAGCCAAAGCAATACTCATTCCTTTGAGAGTGGAGGCTATTAGCTTAGAAATAATTTTCAGTTTGTTTGTTTTCTTTAGTCCTCAAAGAAGTAAGGTCTGTGTTTTCTGTTTTATTTATTATTTGTATATTTTTTAGTTATTAAAAAATACTTTTAGAACATTTTCAATTAAAGTTTCAACAATTTCTACAGAAGGATATGTGCTGAGAGCGATTGAGTGAGTACGACTACTCCAACTAAAGCTAAATCATTTCATACATTTTAAAATAATTTTCCTCAAGTAGTGGAAGAGGATGAATGGATGAATAGTTAGGCCAATGGATGAATGGATGGCAGTGTTGTTTTTGGCAGGTATCTTAGTTTTAGTCTTAGTCAGTTTTAGTTAAAGACTAAATCTCAAAAATGTCCTTTTCTCAACAAAGATTTTTGTTTTTAGTTTTACAAAGAAATTAAAGAGAGCCTTAGTCTGTAACAGATGAATCCATAGGTGTCGCTAGGGCTGCACAATGTATCGCAAATATATCGCTATCGCGATATGAGCATGCACAATATGCTTATCGCAAAGAACAGATGAATGTCGCAATGAATGGTCAGCTCAAATGTTTGCTACACATAATGCATTCTGTCAGTCAAACAGAAGTATTATGTTTTTTTAAACGAATCAAAATGGAGCTCTTTACCCATTTGGCCAATTGGGTGGGTTCTCATAGGTCAGACGCCCGCCCCCGAGACAGACGGAACTTAATTTTGATGGTTAGCAAACACCTGAGTTAGCTTTGTTCTGCTCTTTCTGCTGATTCTACTTTTCCCTGGATCCACTGATCGCCTTTTCTTGTTCATTTTCTTTTTCCCTTTCCTCACATCTTATTTTTGTTCCTCAGTTAAGTTTTTATTTATCGCAAGTAATATCATCATCGCGATATTAATCATTTTAATAGAATATCGCAGGTTTTCCTAATATCGTGCGTAGGTGTCACACTGTCACAATCTGCCCTGTCTCCCCACTCTCTGTTCAATCCTGTGTCTTCCCTAATTGCTCCCATCTGCCTCTCGTCTCCCAATCGCTTAAGATCTCAGCTCCTCTTGTATTTAAACCCTCCCAGTTCTGAGTTCCTCATCCGTTCATTGTGTCAGTGTCCCGTGTGCTTTCCATTAAAATCCCCTTTTGTAATTATTCCTGCCTGCCTACATTTTGGATCCTCACCTCAACCGCTCGCCTCTACTTCGCCCCGCGCTGGTGACAATAGGTCGGCCGTGTACTCTGAGCTACTGGAGAGAGTTTCATACCAACATCATTTATTTTAGGGCTATGGGACGCAATCTCAGTCGCCCCAGATTTTGTCCAGTTAAACAATAATCTCCAGACTGGTATCATTTTTTTTACTTTATTGATAATCACTATACTGTAAATAATTTATTGATCTGAAGATTTTCACAAAGGAAATTTATGATTTTTCTTTTTAACAGAATGGACCCTTAGGGAGCATACACTCTATTTACACAATATTTAAATAGAAATGAAAAAAAAATTAAATTTATTTATTATTTTATATTATATGGACTTGATTAGCAAAGCCAAACACCTGTCTATATAAGACCTCACAGCTCATAATGCATGTCAGAGCAAATGAGAATCACGAGGTCAAAGGAACTGCCTGAAGAGCTCAGAGACAGAATTGTGGCGAGGCACAGATCTGGCCGAGGCTACAAAAACATCTCTGCTGCACTCAATGTTCCTAAGAGCCCAGTGGCCTCCATAATACTTAAATGGAAGACGTTTGGGACGACCAGAACCCTTCCTAGAGCAGGCCTTCTGATTAAACCGAGCTACTGGGGGAGGAGAGCCTTGGTGAGCGAGGTAAAGAAGATCCCTGGAATCACCACTCTAGACACTAATGAAGGCTGAGGAGACATTTCAGCTGTTTTATGAAGGTGTTAAAAAGACGAACGCACAGCATGGACACACTAGGGGGTGCTAAAAGCAAGCAAAACTGTCAAGTGTGCCTTTAAATAAGAATGAAGGTCTCCCCAGCATATTTGTGGAAAAAATGATTTATCATCTCAGAGCTCTTATGGCAGTAATAATAATAATAATGACAATACATTTTATTTGTAAGCGCCTTTCAGTCCCTTAAAGTTGCTGAACAACAGAATTAAAAGCAGTAGCCAGATCGTACAAGCAGTGCAAAATCAAACAGTCAGCAATAAAATCTAAGATAACTATAGCCTCAATAACAAAGCTGAAATAACAGAATTCAGCACTGACAATCACATAAAAACATACAATCGCCTAGAGTACGCCATGCACCTGCCTAAATAAGTGGGTTTTGAGAGGAGAGTTAGTGTTGTACAGAGGTGGCCGAGCGAACCGAGGATGGGAGTTTATTCGAAAGTCGGGGGGCTTGTGAGCCGAGCGACCAAAGGCCTGCAGATAACAAGTGAATGTGTGGTGTAGTCAGTGAGTCGCTGGTAGATGAACGGAGAGTGCGCGGTGGGGGATAAGGTAGAAGAATGTTTGTTAGGTAAAGTGCATCAAAATTATTTAGAGTTTATGAGAATCAACTGGCAGCCAGTGCAACTCGACGGGGACCGGTGTGATATGTTGTGAAGTGGAGTCTTGGTGATGACTCGAGCCGTGGAATACCAGCTGTAGTTATGCAGGAGTTTCTGTGAGATGCCTCAAAGCAGAGAGTTGCGGTGAACCCCAACTGGCGGCCCGCGAGCCACATCTGGTCCATCAGACCTTTCCTCCCAGCCCACCAACCCTTTGGGCCCTAATGTCCCCCAGTTGGAGGACTTTGAAGTTTAGCAGCAAGATTCATGTCCCAAATATCAATAATTGTTTAAGTTTTCCAAACACAACAAAAAATACAATCAAAACAGTTTAGATGGAAAACAAAGCCATTTAAAATGGTAAATAATGAAGATACAATAATACGTGAACTTTATTTTAGAAGAGCACCTGGCCCTCATGGTGTCTGCTGGAAAAAACTCAGTTTTGTCTTCAACACAGATTTCTAGCTTCTCTCTAAACCTCCTCCTGTCTTTAGATGATAAAGTGTTTATATGTCGGACATCTCGCCCACAAACTCTCTTGAAAGTGTACGTGGCGTATTGATAGCAGGCCATTTTGTGGGTTTTACTGCCACACAGACATTCGTGCAAAGATGAAAAGAGATGTCAACAAAGAGCCTCCTCTAGAATAGTGATGTATCATATATTTAGTGTGCTGTCAGGTTTATGTTAGACATTTTACTGTTTGGTCTCAGTGAAGATCCTGAGTCAAACACCAAGGAGACCATCTTAACAGAAGGATGGAGCCGTTACTACAAACCTCTGTTTCTGAATGTGTTGCAGCACTTTGTGTGATGTTATTTGGATAAAACATGACTGTTGTAGCTGTGCAGAGTGTGGTGTGCCGCTATCAGGACATTCTCTTTTGATTCCTTCTTGGCTTTAATGTGATGCTGTAAGAAGGTCTTTCGTCTGTCCATCTAATTCCCAGAGTAAAGAGCAATCTCTGAATTTCTTCTTTCAGGCTAGCTAATAATGCTGTGATGAAATTGGCTAAGATGCATCAAAGACGCTGACAGAATTACGCTCTGTGTCTTTACACGAGGTGAGACCAGCAGGAACGATCTCTGCCAGTCAGACTGTAAGGATGTTGAACAGGTCTTTGTACCCTGCAGTAAGACATCACTCAGACCCTTCTTACTCTACTGCTTCGGTCACTTTTACAGGCTTCTCTGTTCAGGTGAAAATTGCACCTCTGCTAAGGCAGGTAGCTCTGTTCAAGTCTTTATCGTCATAGTGAAAAAGGTTTCCAAAACAAAGAAATGTAATAAATATTTGGCCTTGTCATTTTCCTGGAAATTTAAAGAAAATAAATGTGTTCAATCTTCATGGAAATAAAGGTTCAGCTCTTTGAGATGAAAGGATGAGGAGTGAAGGACACTGCTGACGATATGAGTAAAGGCTCTTTAAGTGCTCAACATTTGTCTTTATTTTAAATCAGCTGCACTACCAATAAACCACGACATCCATCCATCCATTTTCATCCGCTTATCCAGAGTCGGGTCGTGGGTGCAGTAGCCTAAGGCGAGAGGCCCAGACATCCCTCTCCCCAGCCACTTGGGCCAGTTCCTCCGGGGGAAACCCAAGGCGTTCCCTGGCCAGGTGAGAGACACAGTCCCTCCACCGTGTCCTGGGTCTACCTTTAGGTCTCCTCCCGGTTGGATGTGCCTGGAAAACCTCACCAGGGAGGCGTCCAGGAGGCATCCTGACCAGATGCCCGAGCCACCTCAACTGGCTCCTCTCGATGTGGAGGAGCAGCGGGTCTACTCCGAGCCCCTCCTAAATGACCGAGCTTCTCACCCTATCTCTAAGGGAGAGCCCAGCCACTCTTCGGAGAAAACTTATTTCGGCCGCTTGTATCCACGATCTCGTTCTTTCGGTCATTACCCAAAGCTCGTGACCATAGGTGAGGGTAGGAACATAGATCAACTGGTAAATTGAGAGCTTCACCTTCTGACTCAGCTCTCTCTTCACCACGACAGACCGGTACAACGCCCGCATCACTGCAGATGCAGCACCCATCCGCCTGTCGATCTCACGCTCCAGTTTTCCCTCACTCGTGAACAAGACCCTGAGATACTTAAACTCCTCCACTTGTGGCAGGACCTTATCCCTGACCCGGAGAAGGCATTCTACCCTTTTCCGAA